CTGGGGGTAACCCTGCGATGGACTAGCATCCCATCCAGGGGGGAGTAGAAATACTCCTGGTCGCTTCATGCTACAGAAACCGGGATAAGCTCCGGCCTGATGGGCCACTTGGCTCGCATGCAGACTTTACCTTTTTTACCTTTACTTCTGGTTTCCATGTCAGAAAGAAGTCCTTGAAGAGTCCAGAATCATGATTCCAGACTGTAAAAGACGCCTCAAGACTGCTTATGATGATTTGAAAAAACTTGTAGTAAGTGATGTTCTTCTCTAAATTAATAGGGATAACATATTTTTATCTAAACTAAAGTAATGGAGAGGAAGCACGATCGTGTTCTCAAAAAATAAAGGGCTTTTCTCAATCCCTTCCCAAAATCTGTGACCAGGGTTTATTTTAAAAACCTAGAGTTTTAAAAAACTCTACTGCTTGGCAGCCATTCTGGTCAGAATGACAAAGGACAAAATAGAGGTGTCTTCAATTTTCTCTAGACTAACACAAAAAATATCAGATTTACTTGAATTATAAACACCCCACAGCTGTAAACAATGCGCTAATTTGAGTGGGAGAAGGCGTGTATAGTAATGTCGACTTCAAAAACAGAGATCACGAAAGTATTCTGGGTGAGTCGAGTCACATGGCAACAACATTAAAATGACATCTTCATTGCATCCTTCAATACCAATGTAATTGGCCCACACGTTCTTGCGCCTTGGCATCTACGCATGTGACCATTACGTGCACCTCACTAATTGTGCCAAAATAAATGTACACTCTTATCTTCATGAAGCTATCAAGACGATATTAGCTGAGAAGTAAGCATGCATTTCACGGATTTCATGGGCTTCCCTGTAACCCTATTCATAGTAAGGAGAATTATACTGTTAATAGTTATTGATGCAAGTTTTATTACCTTGTTTTGACTTTAGGCAGATACAGAGGAGTTATGTGAAACAGAAGAACACAAGAATGCAAAGGCAATTCTGGAAAACACTGTCCTAGAAGAATAGGATTTTGATTATAGTGCAGTCTAGGTAACATTTTATCTCATTACAGTGAGTGTTAAAAAGATAAGTGTGAGTTGAATGTGAAAGACATTCTCATACAATCAAAAAGGTTGATTTATTTAATCTTATGTCAGAGTGTGTGGTCAGAAGCTTACCTTTTTGTGTGACTATTAATATTACTACACGTATTAAATTATTGCTGTTTAGATGTTTTTTTTTTAAACTTGGATGCTGTACATGTATTAAGTAAAACAAAAAGTTCTCAACTTCTTTACTTGTTAGTCTTGTTTCACCTTCAGTTTGAACAACTGACCTCCTGTTGTTATAGTTAAGAAAGAGAAAACATGTATTGTACCATGTTTCTATCGAGTTTTATTATAAATCTACTTGTGTCCTATTGAGTTATGGAAACATGATTTTTAACCAATCAGTGGTGTATTTTCTTTGGGCTATTTCCTTATGTGCAATAATGCAGGAGGTGCAGGGAAGTGGGCACCAGTCTCTCTTCTCTCTGCCCATCTTTTGCTCTTGGGGGTTGCAAGTGGAGAGACACTGGGAATGAGGTTGCTGTTTACAGCAAAATAATACACCTAAATTCAGCTAAAAACTGAAATGGGACCCTCTCTTGCCCCACCACCCCCTGCTTTGTCAAATTTTTGCTCTCACTCCAATTTATGCGCGGTCAGAATGTGGAAAAGCTCTTTGTACAGGAATGCTTGCTACCCAGGCTAGGTTTGTAACAACGATAAAGTTGGCTTTGGTTTCTTGATCATGAAAGTATTGGTTTTCTTGTTTGATATGATTGTGTTCCACCATCCGGCAACTCAGCGATGCAGTGTCAGTGTCAGGGTTGTAATTAGAGCCTCTCTATTTACCCATGCGAAAGAAGTTAGTGAAGCGAGCGCAAGGCAAGCGGGGGTGGGGGAGGGGTTTGTGAGCAAAACGAGCAAGAATTCATATTTTTATCTTGATCCCCACCCCCTACCCAGTCAAGTCTTCCGTTTTGCGCTGGTGTCCAGTTCTCTCGCGATTCTATCCATGTGTTCAATGTAAAACTATGGGAAAAAAAAGGGCTGTGAACAGTCTACATGTAGGTTGTAATAACGAAGATGGGATGAGGGATCAAAGGCCTACAGACATGTAGGGCAGGGATTAGGGATCACAACCCTAGAATCTGGTATCACAACCTGTGGTATCAGGATCAGAAGTAGTGATTGAATGTCCCTTGGTTTCAGATCTATTACTTTCTGTACCAGTGCAGCTCTGGGCAGAAGATTTAACTCCCTCTCTTTCAAAAATGCTACACTCTCTCCAGATTGCTGATTGGTCAACTATAATAGAGCAACTTTCAATAAGCCACTTTCGATATATTAAAATTCAGCTTGATAGTGAGGCATAGAGGATAAAAACAAAAGAAATTGAATAAACATGGTCATTTAATTTCTTTTGTTTGTGTCCTCTACGCCTCACTGCCAAGCTGAATTGAAATATATCACAAGTCGTCTATTGAAGGGGTGTGTGGACAAAATCCCCAGGTGACTCTTGATCTCATGTCAAATTCTCCTCTCTTTCATAGAAGGAAGTGGAAAGCAATTTTATTCTCTCAGATGCCACTTAAGGTCTTTCTCCATGCAACCCTTCAATTGAATGTCAAAAGTAGTACGGAAATTACTTTGGTTTTGGTTTTACTACAGTTGGGTTTGGGTTTTACGACACTCAATTCAAAACCGTTCTAAGATATTATGTTATGTGAAATAATTATGGAAGTTTCAGCTATGAACACAAAAAACAAAACTGGGCTTATTTTCTTTATTACCTGATATAACTTTACATAATTACATCAACAAATAGTTCTTGTATACTCATGAGAGAAAAGCTCGAAAGATGTTTTGCCATTGTCTCAGCAACAACTAATACTCGTTATTTTAGTCATGAGATCCAGAACTATTCTCTTCGAATGTCCTTCTGTCTCACAATATTGAAACAACACCACTATGGAACAATGCAATCAGAGATGGACGTTGAAATTGAGAGTACATTTCCCGAAATGTTCTTTTTCTTATAAAAAAAAATACACAACTAAAGTTACTTTTGGGAATCTTAGCAAAAATATCAATGGCCAAAAACACGCAATTAAATAATGGGCCCAGAAATTTATAAATAAAACACAAAGAATGCATTTATCTACCGCGTCTCTCACATCATATATCGGAAAGTTTTTAAAGTTTTGTACAATTTATTTGGTAAAATTTAGAAACACCATAGATAAAATAATTATTTCTCGCAAAGAGAACTGATTTGACGTCAAGATCCTAACAGAAAACGCCTCGCATCTTCCCACTTCGAAGATGGAAACCTGTTCACCAGAGCAAAACGCTGGGACACTTCGCCATCTGCAATACAACAAGAACATGCAATCAAGACGAATAGTTTTCGTATGAGATGTTAGTTTTTGTAGAGGGAGGAACATCGGAGAACCCGGAGACAAACCATTGACTGAGCAAGGCGAGAACCAACAACAAAGTCAACCCACATACATGTATAGCCACCGGACTTTGATGCTTCGTTGAAATCATTTCAGGCGAAAAACCTGTAGTGAATTCTTCGGTTTCCATTTCTGTATCCCAAGTTAACTTCTGCTAGAAACTTCACACAGATGTATCGAAAACCGCCTGAAAACCCCACCGTACGCTTCACAGAATCTCGACATCCCTAAATTTATCAGCAAAGTCTTCACCAGCTATTGTTTGGGAACAGTGCAAAGAAAAAGACTTTGAAGATTTCGAAGTTCGAGTTTGACAATGGAGATTCTCAACTGATACCAGCCTGACTTTCAAAAGTGAACAAGGTGTTTTCTTTCTAACCTGACCGTCTTCCGCTTTGAGAGGGTAACAAGTGATCATGATGAAGATCTAATATTTGCTCCTGCAAAATGATAAACAGTACGTTTATTATTGACAACATCAAAAAAAGTTGACAAAGTTTCTGTAGTTTGAAGACAACTGACTTCTCGGCAAAGTAACCATCACAAAGGGAACGCAGAGAGATGTTTTAATAAGGCCTTGTCCACACTACGTTGGAGAAATTTGAAAATGCAGCAATATTTCTCCGTCCACACTAATCCGTCACAAAAACGGAGCTTTTCGAAGACACTCATCAAATCGGACGAATTTGAAAACGCCGGCTTTGCGTTTTAGGGTTAGTGATTTCTCTGCCCGAGGTTTCCTCAAACACAAAGCCAAAATGACCGGTGATTGTTGCGGTCTTAAATTTCTCCGGCCTAGTGTGGACGGAAAACATTTGATGCGGTTTTTAAGTGAAACCTCCGTTTTCAAATTCCTCCAGCGAAGTGTGGCCTAATATTTCATCTAATGGGAACCTGGGAGTTGATATAGCAACCCGACATAATGAAAATGGAGGGAGTGAAACTTAACTACAACATTCACAACAAAAAGAAAGTTTTCTTTCACGTACCTCGATATAGTTTTCAAGCAAGGCACATCTCACTTCTTGTTCAATTATCTTCTTATTTTCTTCATTTTCAAAACACGCGTCAATGAGTGTTGGAAACAAAACATTCCGAAGTCTGGAACAATATTTTAAACGACAAGGTCACCATAAAGTTACATGGAAGTTGTGAGGAGAAAAAGGTTGTCAGTTGGGCTCGCTGTTGCTACAGCAAGTAAACACAGGTGTGGTTTTTTGAAGGACTCTTCTTGAGTTTGAATCCGACAACACAACAGATGGTGGAGTTTGTTTAATGTAGGAGTAAAGCCGCGTAACCGATATATCGACATATCAAGGATAAAAAAGAGTACTTTTTCAGTAAAAAGGCTGCATATTGCTCAAGCTTGCTGTGTAAAAACATTGAGTTTAAGAAAACCACATCGCTAAACAAAAGGTTTAATGAGCAGAACAATGGCTGTGCACGTGCGTTATAAGTCTTTGTACATTTCTTTGCCGTCCTCTGCAAAATGACCAAATTCTGCGTTGTCTGGAGAACGTGAACCACGACGGCTAATTTTAAATTTGTATTTCAAATTTATTGCTGTGTTCCAGATTCAGTCTCGTGATAGTTTTGTCAGTGATAAACAAAATAAACGACTTTAGTGTACCGCGAGATTCGGAGGTAAAATATAAAATCATTTTGTTAATCGACGTTGTCATCAACGTCGCCGTCATGGTTTCTTAAACTCCCTAATACAGAGTTTTAGCAATGTCGAAGGCGACGGCGGAGACTACGCCTAGTAAAAAATGAATTTATATTTTACCTTCGAATGTCGCGACTGTGTAGATCTGTTCAATACGCCTATCGGTTCAAAATCTTGCTCGGGTTAAACGTGTACCGAGAGGGTTCACTTCCAAAAGAAGATACGAAAAATTAGCCGTTGCGGTTCGCGTTGTCCAAAATACGCAGAATTTAGTCATTTCACGTTTTTTTTTTTTGCAGAGGACGGCAAAGAAATGTACAAAGATTCAAAGCGCACGTGCACAGCTATTGTTCGGCTCATTAACCCTTTTGTTTGGTGACACTCTCGTCGCCGTCGCCGTCGTGGTTTGCTAAAACTCCCTAATAGAGGAACTAAAGCGACGGAGATGGACATGGATAAGGCTTTCGCTGCGCATGGCCAATAGTTGTCTCCCAGGAGCTGACAGAAGACAGGAGCTCCACTGACGAGAAACGCGCATGCGCAATGAAGGCTGACTCCGCGAGACATGGAAAAGGACACCAGAGACTGAGTGAAGGGTGATGAGTTTTCACGCGAGCAGCGGACAGGCGGACCGATATATCCTGCGACCGACTTACCTTGGATCACTGAAATACTGGAAAGGAAGAGAACAGAGATGCTGTAGTAAGGTAGGAGGTCTGCCAGTCTGAACAAACACCTAAAACATAAAAATGGAGTCAGTTTGAGCTTTGGAAATACTACAACTGCTGTCACCTGTTGCATTTCCTAATTCCCAACTCCTTCTCACGAACAGAAACGATTTTTTTCGTCGTGGAGAACTTTTTTCACAAGTTCTCACTACTAACCTGGTTATCATTGTTCAAAACGGTGAAATATCCAACGATTAATATCACTTCATGTAGTAGATCTTCATTCTTTCCTTCGCTACAAACACTGAGTTAAAAGAAAATAACAGAAGTGTTTTAACGAAATATTTATTACAAGTTTGTTGATTAAGATTTGCCATCTTTGCGTTCGTGAAAACTTCTGAGATAAAGCACACTAGAACGATAACTGCTCACAACAAACATGTTGACAGAGCTATTCAGATTCTAACATTGATTTAGCTTGAAATTCAGGTTAACGGTCACCCCACTCTCTCAATCGGTTACATTTTTCGGGTTTACTCTGGGACATGTTTGCCATTTGCTACACATTTTAACCCGCTTGCCATCGATAACATTCTTTCCCGAGCTTTCCATCCATTAACTTTCCCCGTCTTTGGTATCCGTCACATGATTTTAAATACGTTGAAGTTCTGATTGGTTTATAAAGTGTTTATTTTAGTCGCCGATATGGAAATCAACTCTACGATTTTCGTTTTTTCATTTGATTTTCTTTCTTTTATTTTTCTGACATTCATTAAAAAGCCACTTTATACAACAACAACGAAACAGCAAAACATTCGCACTAAAAGAATAAAACACAGTTTACTTAAAGAAGCTCAGTTACTGTATTTTGAGTTGATTTGGCCAACTTTTAATGGAAGGAAACCTGAAAATAGTAGTTTATTAAGATAGAAAAACACTAAAGAGATAGTAATAAACCATAAAGGAACAAGGATAATAATAATAATAATAATAATAATAATAATAATGATGATAATGATAATGATAATGACAATAATAATAATAACATTTATAAGGCGCAAATTTCATAAAAAGTTCAATGTTAAGGATGGAGAAGATTGACACGGGTTACAAGCGACAAACTTTAACGATTTAACCTAAACGTCTCACACGCTTTATAAATATTATACAGCAACGATAAAGCGAGAGTCACCGTAGCAAGTACGGACGTGTTAAAAAAGTTTTCTACCAAAGAACGCTTCAAGAGCGAACCACTCACCACAAAAGGTAACTGACAATATGTCGAAATTCCAGAGAAACTCCTTCTGCTCCCAAACAAGTCTGCAAACAAACACAGAAAAAGAACTTAGGGTACGCGTGACCGGTAAAATGATGCACTGGTGTCAGGGTTAAATCCATGAAGGCTGTACTTGACACTTGGGCGTAATATATGAACTAGATTTTATTTTTTGCCTCTACACAAAGTTTTCCATTTATTAGGATTCCAAGATTTTCCCTTCTCCGCAAAAATAACATTACCTTAGCAAGACAAGTTCAAATTGCCATTCCATCTCCAAAAATCATTTTCATGAAACGAAACTTGAAATTTTAATCTACGTCACTTACTTGCAACACCTTAAGATCTACAGTTCCCATGAAATTCAACATACACAGCGCCTCTGTCACCAAGTTTATCGTTGCTTCTGAAGGTGTTGAACTCGATGAGGACTGCGCATTCCCAGCATTCATTAGAATGGCATACAGAAACGATACGATTTCTACAAAGGATAAGAGAACGTCCACGAGGTTTGGTCAGGTAGCACAATGGAAAAAACCAACCACAAGGAAAGAAGGCAGAGGCCCCGTGCGCACTACGATGGAGATATTTGAAAACGCATGAAATGTTTTCCGTTCCCACTACGCCGGAGAAATTTGAAAACGCAACAATCACCGGTCATTTGAATTTTTGTTTACGGAAACTTGAGCCGGGAAATCACATGATTATCGTGGTGTTGTCGTTTTCGAAAAGCTCCGATTCAAAATGTTTTCCGTCCAAACGAAAACGAAAAGCCGGCGTTTTCAAAGTCTTCCGGATTGAAGAGCGTTTTCAAAAAGCTCCGTTTTCGTGACGGATTAGTGTGGACAGTACGCCTAACCGTAGAAATGAAGCTGCGTTTTCAAATTTCTTCGGCGTAATACGGACGGGGCCTGAATGAATCTCCAACTTGTAACTTGACTCTATCACTGAGACAGTGGAAGAACACAGCTGAGAGACTTGCGTATTCTCCATGCTTTGAACTTCACTTACCTACAAGCTCGGTCTGTTGAAATGTCACAACAAATTGAGTGAGGTCTTCTTTCCTTGTTTCAAAAATATTACTTAACCTGAAACAAAACAAAGTGGCAAGTGACTCTTAGACGGTCTTGTACAAAATGTAATGGCCTATGCCCGAGATAACGTGAATAGTTTGCTAGGAGTATACTGTACACGGTGGTTCTAGCTTTTAGTTCACAGGTGAAATTCTTAAGCGTGACCAGTCCCATAAAAGTTTTTTATGAGTCACGCATTCCTGTCACACTACGTGCTAAGCCACAAGGCGAGGTCCTTGTGTGTAACCATTCACGTTTAAAATAAGCGTTTTTACAATGCCATTATAGGACTTAAGTGTTACTGTACCGTAAGGTGATTTTAACCTATGAATTAATTTGTGGATAAGAAGTTAAAGACCATTGGCCTTTGTTAAGCTGTGATTGTATCTTTATGAACTTCATAAGGAGAAAGCCAATCGACACCGTTCAAAAAAAGGTATCCGTTGACCAGTATCACATTACCGTATCGCGAGCTTAAGTTTAGAGCCCATCGAGGTCACTTTGACCGCTGACAAGGTACTAGCTTTCGATTGGATCGCGGATTCAAGCCAGGCTAACTTATTGTAATCAGGAGATCCGCTTTTAGGCTTGGCGAAATCAACATATGTAAAGGTTACTCACCGTGAACCAAGATATTGAGCAGTTGCTGATAAAAGAGCCAAACAAGCCTGAGCGTAGTTCACTGCAGCGGGATCTTCATTTAAGGAACCGTGAATTGTACTAAAGAAACTTCTGATGTCATCTACTACTCCAGAACAAACCACATAGCTAAGAGAGATGCAAAATTGAAGTGACTGTTAAAATTAAATACGAGAGTACGAAAGGTCTCTTTTGCATGTGTAACACTAAGCCCAGCAAAATCATCAGCTAGGGATTGTCTTGATGCGCCACCAAATACTCATGACTTACACAACAGGAAATGTATGGAAATCATTAAGGAGAGTTACTGTTTCAGTCAGAGGAGCTTTACCCGATCAAATCTACCATTCTTTGTACGAGGGTCGCTACTTCTTTTTCTTCAGGCGAAGCTGTCGCAAAGCACTGAAGCACTGTGGCTAGGACCTTCAACAGCGCTGTTGCTAAGGGGTCTGGTAACGACTGGTTTGCCGCACCACTTCCAGTCTCCTTTTCCGCTCCTTTCTTTGACGTGCCATGGGACTGAGGGACACCCTGTGTGGACAAACACGACATATTGTCTCCAAACACCGCCAAGTAGCTCAGAGAACACCAAGCTCTTCTATATGATACTATGGTAAGTACAAGAGATAACTATCCTATAATAGTCGCTTTCATCGGTGGGCTACTCTCCGGGGGGATTACTATCACTATCAACGTAATTTTAAGTCTCTATACGAGCCAAGTGGCCCATCAGGCCGGAGTTTATCCCGGTTTCTGTAGCATGAAGCGACTAGGAGTATTCCTNGCACCACTTCCAGTCTCCTTTTCCGCTCCTTTCTTTGACGTGCCATGGGACTGAGGGACACCCTGTGTGGACAAACACGACATATTGTCTCCAAACACCGCCAAGTAGCTCAGAGAATACCAAGCTCTTCTATATGATACTATGATACGTACAAGAGATAACTATCCTATGATAGTTGCTTTCATCGGTGGGCTACTCTCCGGGGGGATTACTATCAGTATCAACGTAATTTAAAGTCTCTATACGAGCCAAGTGGCCCATCAGGCCGGAGTTTCTCCCGGTTTCTGTAGCATGAAGCGACTAGGAGTATTTCTACTCTCCCGTGAATGGGATACTGGTCCGTCACGGGGTTACCCCCAGCATTAAATTCGCCAGTACTAATTCATACACCTGGGTGGAGAGAGGCACTGTGAGATTAAAGAACACAACACAATGTCCCTGGCCAGGGCTCGAACCTAGACCACTCGATTCGGAAACGGGCTCACCAACCACGCGCAACGCGCCTCCCACATCAATGCAATCAAGGTAAATTAGGCCTTTGAAAAACGCAAAGGTTATCTCTAGCAATGAACATGAAGATCTAAAATTCAAAATGACGACTACACTACGGGTCAAAAATGCCAGAAATAAACGATATGGGTAAATATGTGCAATACCGAAAGTGCAATAAAGAGGTCAGGCTTTTATGCAAGGCTCTTCTAGTGACGTTTTCTGGTTTTTTGTTTACCCACCTTGATCTGGTAAACAAGAAGATCCACAACTGAGCTGAGTTTGTTTGTGCAGACCATGTAACGACAGTTGTCCAAGCAGTCACCACATGCAAGAGCCAACACATTGGCGACGCTACAAAGAGCTCTAACAAAACAGAACAAGCCTCGAATGAACGTGGTTACAAGATACAAATCTGTCCATGCAAGAACTAGATGACTAAGAATAAGTTAAACTAGCATTCTTGAATATAATATTTGTATTGACTGGGCGTCAAAACAGGGTAATAAGGTCTTTGGGTTATAACATACCGACTGAAACCAAAGCATATTTACTCCTGGTCCGATCAATTCAGTCATTACAGGAGCTACGTCGCGGTTTGCACATCTTAAAAAGTTTAGCTTAAATTTTTCAAGTTTGTCGATTGCAGTCCGCGTTAATCTTTTCCATCCTTAACCATCCTTGTTCCTTTATGGTTTATTATTATCTCTTTGGTGTTTTTTTTATCTTAGTAAACTATTATTTTCAGGTTTCCTTCAATTTAAA